TATCTATCTATCTATCTATCTATCTATCTATCTATCTATCTATATATATATATATATATATATATGTATGTATAAATATGTATAAATATGTATAAATATGTATATATGTATATATGTATATATGTATATATGTATATATGTATATATATGTATATATATGTATATATATGTATATATATGTATATATATGTATATATATGTATATATATGTATATATATGTATATATATGTATATATATGTATATATATGTATATATATATATATATATATATATATATATATATATATATATATATATATATATGTATATATATGTATATATATGTATATATATGTACCCATTCACTGTGAGTTTACTTGTTTAATTGTTTTTATACATAGATGACTACACTTGTACTAAATCACCAATGAGCCAATTACGAGTACTACCTGTCTCGCCCGTTACCTATTTCTTTAATTTAAGAAAATATTTTACGTTATCTCATTTTGCTATTACTAATGTTTATAACATTATAGTTACAGGATTTTCCCCACTTTTTGTTCATTTTCCCTGTTGCAAATGGGTTAAAGAAACGAGGTTAGCAGGTTTCTAAATAGCTGTCAGGTTGTCTGTCTGGCAACTGGGCCAACTAACTTATTTTTTCCATTCCACTTTTGCCATTTATTTTTGACTGTTTCCATAAGCTGTTGATACAGTAAAGTGCAGTGGATTCTAGTCTTGTAAATTATGATTATTTATTTTTTCTATATGTGCATTCATTTTTTCTGCTATATATATGTGTATTTATTTTTCCTCGTGAATGGATTTAAATGAGTAATTTATTTACTCAATAATGCTTTCACTTGATCATTATTTGTACTTTGATCAAGGCTATTCCTTGGACGTGGTGAATCGGGAAAAATGATTGCTGCCAGACAGGAAGGACCTGCTCCTGATGGTGCTGTACCTGCGAGCTTCCCAAGAATGTCATGGGTGAGTAAGTTAAAGGAACATGAGGTCAACTTTTGTGTGTTTGTGTGTGTGTGTGTGTGTGTGTGTGTGTGTGTGTGTGTGTGTGTGTGTGTGTGTGTGTGTGTGTGTGTGTGTGTGTGTGTGTGTGTGTGTGTGTGTGTGTGTGTGTGTGTGTGTGCACTTGTGTGTGTGTGTGTGTGCACTTGTGTGTGTGTGTGTGTGTGTGTGCACTTGTGTGTGTGTGTGTTTCTTTCTTTTATATTTTGATGTCAGTTTTCTGTTTAACTGTATTTCCATATTATATATCAATTCATATTATCTATCCACGTATATATCCTATATATATATGCTTGCTACAAAATAAACATATATTACATATAAACATGTCAGATGTGATTTTGTGCATGTAAGTGTCTACTTTAGAGAAGAAGAAAAAAAGTTATAAGAAACCTTGTTGTTAATTCAGTATTTTCTATTTCTCTTGTCATAAATATGTTTAACTTTTTTTTTTTAAATTACTTTCATTTACAGGTTCAGAGGATACTGCAGTTTTTCAGAGGCAGACATCATGCCTGCCCACACAAGGGAGGGTGTCTGCCCTATTTCACTTGGGTAAGTTTATTAGTGTAATTGTTATCTTGTCCACTGTATTTTGTATTTGTGGAGGTCAAATAGTTCTCATTCAGTATCAACCCATTGTTGCCAGGTATGGGTGATTTCCATTATAAATTTGCTTTGTGAATAGTCTTTACACATAGATAGCTCCACAAGTGCTCAGCCACTAAGGAGTCAATTTATAGGCCTACATGACCTCGCCTAATTTCCCCTCTCCTTGAGCTTTTGTGATTTTTTTTTTTTTCTGTTGCTTTTAATATTGTTACTGTTCTTATTATTGATGGCATTATGGCAAGTATAGTATTATTAACCCAGTGTTGACGGGCATGGCATATACATACATGCCATGCCCACTGTGAGTTTACTTTATTAATTGTTTTTACACATACTGTCTGTCTCACCCATTTACCCTTTTCCTTATTTTACAAAAATATTTTACGTTATCTTATTTTGCTGTTACTAATGTTTATAACCTTATAGTGATTATGATTTCTTTAATAAAAATAACACCATCGATATTCATAGCATAAAAATACATTTTTCATGCCACTTCAAGGAAAGGTGAAATTAGGTAAGGTCATAAGGTCTACTAATTGACTCCTTGGTGGCTAATCACTAGCAGAGCCATCCACGTGCAGAGACATTTCAGAAAAATATAAATAATGAGCACAGCATTTTCCCCATTTTTTATTCATTTTCCTAGGCAGTATGTGGTTAAAAATACTATTAGCAACTCAAAAAAAAAAAAAAAAAATATATAGTATATCCAAAAATCAAGGAAAAGGTAGTGGTGAATGGGTAGGACCAGTAATTGACTCTGATGATGAAGCATTAGTTGAGCCATCTATGAGTAAACACTATAAATAAACTAAAATCACTGTGGATAATGGCATCTATTGCTGCTATCCCTGGAGGCAGTGCATTAAAAAGATGATAGATATTGAATTTTAGCCAGGTCAGCATTATCTATCACTCATTTTTTGCATTAAATGTGAATGATAATTAGTTGGCAGAAGACTCACTTTAGTTCATTATGGAGTTTTGATTTGTTTTTCCCTGTCTTAACCCCACACTTTAGCAGTTAAGTTTATGCCAGAGATTATATCAATTGATGTGGTTGATGAGTTGTAGGTGAATTTGTAATTTTTTCCAATAAGTTGATAGAAAAAGGCAAAGAGAAACATATGTAATATAATTTTTTGTTGTCTCATGATTAAGGTCTGTGGACTACTTTTGTGACACATCATTCCAATTAGTTCCTTGCTCAGAATGCTGATATACATAATGATCTTATAGAATTACTCTTGCAGGTTACTGATTCTAACCATTACTGTATTCTGTTTTCAAAGTGTTGCATCTGCTTGCTACTTACCCTAAAACTCTTCTTTTTCTAGACTGCCCTTAGAGGTTTCAGTCAAGGCTTCCTCCTACAGCTTGCAGTGAAGATTATCCCGTCCCTACCCCGACTCCTGGGGAAACCCTCAAAGCTCTATGACTTGCTGACCAACCCACATAACTTCCAAGCTGGCATTTTCCTTGGATGGTTTATGTCTGTGTTTAAGGTATGGAAATTAGTGAGAGAGAGAATATGAGAGAATGTGAATGAGTGAGGGAGAAATAGAAAGGGAGAGAACAAGTGGAGGGAGAAAGAGAGAGATGGGAGAGGAGGAGAGGGAACAAAGGGAAATAGGTAGGGAGCGAGCAGAAGGAGATTGGTATGGCAAGAGAGGTAGCAGAGGGTGATTGGTAGGGCAGGAGAGGGAGCAGAGGGAGGAGGAGAGGTAGAGAAACAAAAAGCACAGAGAAAAAGAGATAAAGAAGTACAGGGTTAGGAAAGGCGAGTGGTAGAAGACAAGTGACGGAGGGTGTTTTGTTATCCTCATCAACAGGGTAGAACAGTAACTCTATAAAGCATAATTTTCTTGCAGGGGACATGCTGCTTGGGTCGCTGGTGGAGTGGAAAGGATGAGGCAGCGCACGGGGCAGTGGCAGGGGTGCTGTCTGCTCTCTCTATGTATTTCTACTCAGCCCCATCACTAGCTCTCTACATAATGTGGAAGGCCATTGAGGTTTGTCAGTTTTTGAAATTTTCTCATTATTAAAGTTGTAATTATTGTTTCTTAGCTGGCATTATGTTAAGCTATTTTTGTTAAAGAAATTTATATATGTCATCTTGTATATTTTGTTTTTATGACAGAGGAATAGATTGCTTTTGCATCATGTGTATTTTTATATTTTTATCTGCTGTCTTATTTTATTAGTGTGTGTTTGGAAAAAATGTGCTTTTATTCTATTTTGCCAGACTCATGTTTAATGAATAAAGCATTAATATTTAGGAATATCTAAACACCCATCAGAGCATATACGAGAAAGGCTGTGATAATGGTTATCTTCCTCGTATCCCTGGCTCTGTGGAGTTCCTGTATGCCCTGTGCACAGGGTACCTCTTCCACAGTGCTGTGTGGGAGAGCTTTAACATGAAGCCTTCCTACTGGCGGTTTCTGGATAGGCTGACATGGAGCAGGTAATCCTTGGGTCTGTTGTGGCTTGGTGTCATTCCTTCAATATTGACAGTTGATGTGATTTTTTTAGAACATTGATATAAAAAATGATTGTTTATTTTTACGTTGCTTTTGACTGAATTTCAGAGAAATGATCAAAAGATAGGTTGATAATATTATTATTACTTTGAAGATCAATTGATTTAGATAAAAGAGAATGGTAGAAATATTAGACATGCTTTATGGATATAGATGAATAGAGGCCTGCGGTAGCAAGTGAGCTTTCATATTACCTTCATTATCAGAATAACACATAATGTGCTCAAGAATAAAAAATCATAACAGTGAACATTGTTTCTAGAATGAGTGAATACAACCGCCACCTCCTCACTCCCTATGGACTGGAGAGCAGCAAAGAATTTGCTAATTACTGGCCAAAGTACCATCTTGATCACGTCACCGACAGCTTCAAGCAAGAGTTTCAAGAGGTTATAGCAAGAGGAAGATACTAGCCAGGGACCTTGGAGAAATTTCTCTTCCTTCTCACCGCAGATGGTGCTATCCTGTTGTTATCTTGTTAAAAGAATTTGATCAATTGCATGTATATATGTGTAAAAGACAATAATACGAGAGATTATGAGAGATTAATTTATCTTGTATGTTATGAGAGAGATTTCTTTATCATTTATGTATATATGTGTACTCTGGATTCATACATACATATTCAGCTACAGTGTATGAACATACATAAGATTCTATTTCTAAGCTCTCCATATCTTTCTCTGTGGAATCTTGACTCACTATAGACACATTTCCAAGTAATTCTATTATAAGGAGACTTGTAAATAGTGTCTATTATTGAGTGATCAATGGCAAACGTTGACTTACTATGTTGTTCAAGAAGGGAACAATCTTAAGGACAAATCTCACA